CATTCCTGGCCTGGCTCCAGTGGAAACATGAGAAATATCTGATATTTCAAAAGAAAAATAACTGACAGGTTTTGAGCACAGGCTGGCAACACTAGATATGAAACAAAGGCCTGGACATGATGGCCGAAGTCTGAGGTTTCCACTCAGGGAGACTAAAAGCAGGTAATCCTGGCCTTGAGCATAGTGAGCCTTTGGGGGAAAGGTCAAGCTCACTCTCTGCCACTTCCCCCTTCGACTAGGGACAGGTTGGCGTGGGGAATTGGTGCCCTTCCCAGACTAGAACTTGAAACACAGAAAGAAGGGTAGTGTCATGGGGCTTCCTCTCCAAGGCCGCCCGCCCCGCTCCCAGAACTGACTCCCAGACCGCGGGAAAGTCGGGCACGGAGGGGACAGCAGGGAAACGCCGCCCAGCAGGGGGCAGTGGCAGAAGCACATTCACCCGCCCCTGGGAACCGCCCGGCGCCTTTGGCCTCAAAGTATCATTCCCGTCCGAGCTCAGCGAGGGGACAAAGGTCTTCCACTCAGCAGACACCCCCATAGAATCCGAGACCCGAAAAAGGGGGTCCTGAGTCCCTCATCTTATTTCATTTCCCTAGAGCTCGGAATCTTAAGCCCAGACTTGATGGGAAGCCAGTCAGTAGGTATACAAAAACAAAATGCAAAACAAGAAAAATAAATGAGCCCCGACCTCTTGGGGCGAAAGAGGGTGGCCCTTGCTCAACCCCACCCGCTGTGACTCACCTCCCTGCGCCCGGTGCCAGGCGAACAGGGCGGGGCGGGTACTAAGGTGGGCTCCATCCCCGAGCCCGAGGCGCGCCGACAAGCTCCAGCGTGTCCCCGCGGGTGTCCCTGTTTACTCGGTGCCCGGGAGCGAGGTGGGGGCGGGCCCTCCCCGCCCCTCCCCCGCGCCTCCGCCACAGGCCGCAATCCCGGTCCCCGTCTCAGTCTCCAAATCAGAGCTCAGCCTTTCCAGTGCCTACACTGCGAACTGGTGCCCCTGCCCCCACTCGCGGCTGGGGACACAGTCAGGGATCCCCGAAGAAATCCGACCTGTGCCCAGACCTCCGGGTCCTGGAATCCTAGAGCTGTGACACCAAGTTCCAAAGGGGAGCAGCTCAGCCCTCCCTGCCCACTGCCAATCCCCCTGGTCCCTTCAGCTCTAGGGAGTACACGGGAACGCCCCAGTCAGGGCAGAGCACACCCTAGGCCCCAAACCCACTAGCGGGCTTCCGGGACCCCCACTCTGGGACAGCTTTCCAGAACTCCAAATCCTGCCGCTGCTCCGACTCCCCCTCCCCAAGGCGCCAAATTGGCGCATGCGCACACGCAGGATTGCCGCGTAGCTCTTTCCCCCCCTTTTTATTTCCCCGCCCCTTCCCTCCCTCCCTCCCTC